TTTTTTTTTATGTCAGCACGTCTAGAGACAAATTTTACCATAGCAAGAAATATGGGGATCAATATGGAATATCGCTTGACACTCTCTAGCACAACCTGGTCAAAATCAGTCGATCGACAGGAGTTATAAATCATCAACGTTCTAGTTGCGAACGACAACCTCCCTAATATCCAATGGCCAACACCTTCCAACTCAACATGAATCGGAAAGAGTACGTAATCAACATCGAGCCATGACTCCCCGCACAGAATTTTGAATCCAAACATGTAGTCGACAATGACACTATCGATCGTACAAATCCGGGGGTCACATGAGTTAACAATGTATAAAGAATATAGTGATTTCATCTGCTGGTCGAAAAAATTATCAGTGGTAGTAAATTTCTGAGAAGGTGGTTCAAGAGCATACAATCCAATCTTTCGGATGTAGTAGAACAAAACATCAATATGCTGAAAAAAAAATATTTAAAAATTAGAACGCGAAAAAAGGAAAAAGGACGAAGACAAACACAGTTGAAATGATACTTACACTACCATCAAGGAAACAATTGGATTCATACAAGGTGAAGAACCAATTCTTATCCGAAACCACGTCAACATTAAAATCAAATGGGGGGCTTAAGGTTGTGTTCTTCTTGTTGTTCATGTGTGATTTTACACCATATTTATTGAGTATCTAGAGCTTAGTCATTGCATTATTGGTGTTTAAATTGCACATTTATGCTTTAATTCTATATTTGTTGGAAAGGTATTACACGTGCTCGTTTTGTAGGTATTTTCACGTATTTTTAGAGCTTGTGGCTATTGGAGGCGCATTGTGAGTACCTAGGACCCCCGAGAATGATGATGGATTGATGCACGGATGAGAAGAATGGAAGAAACGAGCAAAACGGACAAAACCGAGAGTGCTGGGATGTGACACGACCCGTGACATGGGCTGCATGCCCGTGTCAGGTGGCCGTGTCACGTGTACAGGGAATTCCGAGGCTTATTACCTGACACGACCCGTGACACGGGCTGTGACACGGGCGTGTCGGGTCGTGTCGCGACGCGGGCAGTTTTTATTCCTTTGCCTTTTTCGGTTAGGAAAGGACTTTTGGACCTATAAAAAGACATATTTACCTGCTTTTGAACCCTAGAACGTGATTACGCAAGGAAGGGAGCTAGAGAACACACAAGAGAAGCAATTGAGAAGAAGAGAAGATCAACCACAAGCTTACTAGTTTTTCTTTCTCTCTTGTGAACTTATTTCATCATGTTGATTTTGAATATGTCTATGTATTTGATTTCAAACATGAGTAGCTAAATTTCATTGATTCTAAGACATGGTAGTAGATTAATATGTTGGGATTTTGGATGATTTATCATAGTTGATTGTTTTCTTTTGAACCCTATTCAAATATTTTGTTCTTATTTCATGTTTAGAACTTGATCAATTCTTTTACATGTTTGACAATATTGTTCATAATTCGAGAGATGAGTTCAATATTAGGTCCTTAATATTTGACACAATTTACTTGCTTGAATCGAGAGATTAGTAGGTCGTTGTGAGGATATTAGATCTTTTGTTCTAATTGGAGTTGAATTGCATGTGTTGAGTGGAGACGCTAATATATGTGATTTAATCTACGGTTTTATCGATCTCGAGAGGGACGTTAGGCTAAAATTGCGATCATCTTATAGGGTAGATAAAGAAAATAGTTAGTGGTGATAAATTTGAAGGAACCCAACTGTTAATTGAACCCATAGTCTTAGAATCTACCATTCCCATATATTCTTCTTAAGTGTTTTTCTAGTTGTTTTCTTATTCTTGCTTTATTTGCGTTGATTTATTTTGTAGTTTAGTTAATCCATCTCATATTCGGTCGTCTAAATAAAATCAACACTATCATAATCTAGTAATTGGTATAATAATTATTTGGTCTCTTGGGATACGACCTTGCTTGCCACATACTACGAGCGAAGCCGTACACTTGCGGTCGAGCTTTAAAAATATAGGCGAACACTTGTCATAGTACACGAACCTTTCAGAAGATGAATTAAATATAAAATAAGAAGAATGAACAAATGACGGAATGTAATAAAAACAACAAAATGAAAGTACATACCCTTCCTTTTTCTTACGCCGATTCTTAAGTTTACCCACTTTCAACCACTCAACGAGATCCGAAGTTAAATCAAACCGCATCGTGTCCCAAAAATCAGTGTCAAAAGGGCATGACTTACAAATAACTTGTCTTTTTTTTACACGTTTGATTTTCTTAAATGGGATGTCGACCACCGACACAAGATCATTCACATTTTGGTTACCCTGTATACGAATATCAAGACCACCGATAACACCAGGAGTGTCCTTCATTAAAGAAACATAACAGATCAATAGCTATGCATAAAAATAATAAGTTATATACTTCGAGGAAAACATGAGGTTTACTTTACGACATCGAAAGGTAAGATAAACTGTGAATAAACTTTTTGACTTCAGTTCAAGGAAAACATGAGTTTTACATTTAGACATCAAAAGGAAAAATACACTACAGATAAACCAACAAAAAACCACGGATAACCCAACAATAAACCACAGATAAACCACATATATATACACAGATAAACCAACAAAAAACCATAAATAAACCACAAGTATATATATAAGTATAACCACAGATAAGCCAACAAAAAACCACAGATAAACTACAGATATATATATACGTATAACCAAAGATAAACCAACAAAAAACCATAAATAAACCACAGATATATAGATAAGTATAACTACAGATAAACCAACAAAAAACCACAGATAAACCACAGATATATATATACGTATAACCGCAGATAAACCAACAAAAAATCACAGATAAACCACATATAAACCACACAAAAAAGTATATACACAAGAGTAAAAGTATAACCAACATATAAACCAACAAAACACCATATTGAAATATTTTTATGAACAGTTGTAAATATAGAAGTTATATACACAAGAGTAAAGTCATATTACATTTTTGTTGGCAGTTAGCATGCTTTTTAATTTTCCCTCGGTCGTCCTATCAATCTCATCCATCATTTGCGGGGTCAAAACAGGGAAACCATCAACATCGAAATCTACATTATGTTCACCATTCCCTTGTACAAACTGAGAAACATATCAACCAAAATAAAAAAAGGATTACTGATTTTAAATGTAGACTTAGTTGTGATCATAGAAATAAAATCAAATAATTACACTTACATCTTCAGCATCAACTTCCTTGTGGATCCCAACGTTTTCTTGATGACGACTACTTTCTGGAACATCGTTGGGCTTAGCACCTTCTCCATCATTTAATCCCTTAGAAAGTAAACACAGTTAACTTAGATAAAAAATAAATTACGAAAACTCTGATGATACAGAATAAATTTAACTTAGATA